ATTCGCTTGTTTGTAGTCCGAGCATTATGCTTGATTGCAGTGATAAAATTGCAGAGTAAAATTAAATTTGGAAAACGTTGAAAAAATAAGTTTTTTTCTATTCTAAAAGCTCCTGCTCCTGACAATGGGAGAAGTCTATGTCTGACAGTGAAGTTTTATGGGAGGACGATGATGATAATAGTGGTAATAACAAGAAGAAAACGTAATAAGCAAATAAATTTCAACAATTTCAAAAGACATTTCTTTTTAAAAGCGTAACTAAACAAATATAAAAAAGTAAAACATTCATGTTCCTATTTTAGAACATTTCAGTTTGCGCCCAGCTGTTGCTTAATAATTTATTACCTATTATTCAACCATTTCATTTATATCTGTGAATTCAATGTACAGAACGATTAATCATTCCAGCACACCTATTTGTAAACAGCAGACCGCCAGGCTGACAAGGATGACGTTTGTTATATTTTTCAAGATTGAAGTAACATTTTCCTGTTATTTATATATTTTATGTACAAAAAATATTTTTTGTTTTATTTTAAAACTAGATTTTTACCCGCGGCTTCGCTCGCGTGGTTTTCAATTTATAAACATCATTAAACTTTCCGTGCAAAAAGTAGTAAAATAGGATCACTTGTAGAGACACCTCGGTATCTGTGTAGGTATATATATTACGTAATTGATTGAAATTTGGCAATATGCTACAGAAACATAAGTTTGTTTATCAGAATCGCATTAATATCATACGTCTAAAGTAAAAAAGTAAAGTTACAGCCTATTTACGTCCCACTGCTGGGCACAGGCCTCCCCTCATTTCTGAGAGGGTTTTAGGGCGAGGAAATGTCCGCTGCGCTGCCCCAATGCGTATTGGCGAACTTCACATGTCTTTGAAATATTTTTTTATCTTATTCCTCAGACATGCAAGTTTCCTAACGATGTTTTCCTTCACCGCCGAGCACATGGTAAATCAGCACTTAAAATTGCAATTAACAATTTCATTGGTGGCGGCGGGGATCAAACCCGGGTTCCTCGCATTCTGTTATAATTACAGCGAGCGTTAACCATCTGAGCTACCACGGCTCTTATCATACGTCTAGCAACACTTTTTTATATCGGAGATATCTTCCGATGTATCTTTATGAAGGATTAATTGCCCTGCAATCAGATATGTGGTATTTACATAATATTCATAATCAAATTTGATGTAGTTTTGACAAAATAATGTTTGATTCAATGGTCTTTACTAATACACGGCACAGTGCTTATATGCGTTGATTTCATAAATATTGTTGTATTGTTCGTGAGTGTCGTAATAGGCTACACAGTAAAACTGAAACAGTAGGTGGGTGACAGCATCTTCCTGATAATAGCGCAAAGTAATAAAAAGATGCGGTTGCCATCCCGCTTGCCAAGCGTGACTACTAATGAATATAACCGGCCTATTTGACAAACAATATTTCCCCCATTGTGATCAGCATATGATCAGCAGTGAAAAGCCTTCATCATAATCATCATTACATCCCTTCACAAGTTCACTGCTGAACACAGGCCTCCTCCAAGGAATACCACAAAGCACCGTCCTGAGCCACCTGTATCCATCAACTTCCTGCATGTTTTAACAGGTCGTCACTCCGTCTAGCGGGAGGTTTACATTACACTTCGCCTACCGTTACGAGGCTGCCACTCAAGAAACTTTTTTCCCCCGTTGGTTGTCAGTTCTTCGAGCTATATGACCGGCCCACTGTCACTTCAGCTTAATTATTCTTTGGGCTATATCCGTCACTCTGATGCTACTGCGGATATCCTCATTTCTACGTTTATCACACAGAGAAAACCTGAGCATAGCTCTCTCCACAGCTCGCTGAGCGATCTTGAGCGTTCTCATACGCCAAGCAGTGAAGGACCACGTCTCAGTTCCATAAGCCATTACTGGCAACACGCACTGGTTGTACAGACTCGTTTTCAGGTTTTGGGGTATAGGTGAAGAGAAGATGTGTAGTAATTTTCAGAATGTGTAAAGCCTTACCAAAATTTAAATAGTAGCAGCCTACATCCATTCCACTACAGGGCATAGGCTGCAACAAGTTTTATGACACAATATATGAGTGAATTAACTTCAACGCGGGACGACTAACTTCACATATAGCAGAATCCATATTACCTTTAAAAGTTAAAGTTACAGCCTATATAGGTCCCACAGCTGAGCACAGGCCTCCTCTCATTTCTGAGAGGGTTTTAGGGCAAGTAAGTCTCCACCGCGCTGCCTCAATGCGTGTTGGCGAACTTCACATGTCTTCGAAATATTTTTTTTCTTATTTCTCTCACATTCAGATTTCATCACGATGTTGTTTTCAACCGCCGAGTACGTGGTAAATCAGCACATAAAATTGTAATTAACAGTTTCATTGGCGCCGGTGGGGACCCAGGTTGCTCGCGTTCTGTCAAATTTAGAGCGAGCTCTAACCACCTGAGCTACCACGGCTCTTATAAATATACTAATACTACGAGTATTATATACCTAAAATAATACTAACTATATAACTTTTCGGATACGCAAGTTTCTCAGTGACATTTTTCTTCAACATCGAGAAAGTGGTAAATCGAAACTTCTAATTGCATTTAAAATATGGTTGGTGTCGACGCGGATCAAATTTGGATTGCTTATATACGGGTGGCAACGCATCTACATTTTGATTCGTAATCGAGTATAGATGTAGATGTCTATGGGCCATAGCAACCGTCCGTATGGGCTACAACAACAAGTCCAGGTGGACTGTGTGCTCGTCTGTCACCCTTTATACTATGAAATTTAAGTTTGTATCGGTACTACTCAAAGTTAAAATAAAAATAAGTCCGTGTTTAAAATTGCTTCCTTTGTTATTTATAGGAATTTGTTAACTTATTTGAGCTATGAAACCGGTATGAAAAAATATAGTAGTTATGTCAGAAAATATGAAAGCTATCTTAATATATGACAAATTGTTAAAAAAGTCCCATTAATAATAAAAAAGTAAAGTAGCTGCTTACATACGTCTTACGACCATCCACAGCGCTCCTTATTACCCATAATATGACATATTGGTTTTCACATATTCACGCATCTTTTTTAAAACTATTTAGACACCAAGGTTTCCATGGTAAATTATTCTCCACCACTTCAATGAGTACGTGGAATAGAAGCAAATTTCGTTACCAGTTTCATTGTTCCTCGTGGGAATCGTGCACTTTTTGTTTCTGTGCCATGAAATCTTACAGCGAACAACACGGCATTTGCTTGAATAAAACTCATAAAATCTAACATTTACCTAATAATTAGTCATTCAACGGTATTATGAACTATTCCATCAATTAGATAAATCTCACAATGCACTTAATTTTCAAATACGTACTTCGGACATGAATGATAAAAAAGAAATTTTTGAAATATTGCTATGCCGATGGATATCCAACATATTCAACTAAAAGACCTTCTCTCTCAATAATAGTTTGGTAAGTCATTTTGCTATCATCTGGGCAGTGGCCGGTTTAGATATTTAAATTCTGACAATATTTGAAGCTGCAACAATAAGTATTTATAGAATTGTCTTTAATTTGATCAGTTACTTATTATTAGTTTATTTAGCAGTAAGTAGGTGGTGCCATTATTAGATCAAAACTATGAAAACCAAAACTGTACTCTAAATAAGAATTTTGTAATGATTGAAATTCTTATCAGTTTTATTTATAGATAAAAAACTAATACATACTAAATATTTTTATAAATTAGAAATTAAACTCAACAGCCCATATTTTTAATATATAAATAAAATTTATTTATTTCTATTAAAATGAAATAATGAAACAACTTAAAATAAACGTTAAAGTTCCAAATCAATAATGAATTTTATTATTTAAACATATAAAAATGTAAGTTATTTATATATCGACGCAGCAAAGTATAAGCGACGCAACGACGTATTGGTGCATTACTAAAACAATGATTATTGTGTTAAAAATTAATAAGCGTTATTTCAACTACAGAAATGACGTTATAACTTGATTGTTTATAACATATTATGTTTTTATTTTATAATCATACTTCGTTTCTAAATCCTAGGAGATTTAATAACTATGTAGTCCGCTTCCTGTGGTACTGCATCATCACACGAATTTTAGATATCATTTTTACAAAAAATGAAAAATAAATATTAAAAAGATTGTCCATTGACTTTTGTAAGCCATTGTGAGCCTACCGGCCCAGCCGCGCGTTTCGATCATTCGTTTGCCATGTGTTGCATCATCCGCGTGTTTCCCGCAAGAAGTAATTTTTTAAGTAAAATTTATGTTAAAATGGGAAAAACAAGAGTGAGAAGCCTAATGATGAAATTAGAAACAAAATAATACATTTGGAAAAGGAAAGGAAGAAAAGGACGCAACCATTTAATCTATAACAGTGCTGGAGAGAGACATAACATATGCGAAACTTTGCCATACTACTAACAGTTTTTTCGTTATTTCGCAGCTGCATACGAACGCGGAGGTGTACTAAAGGCGTTATGGTCTCGACGAAAACCGCCCGAGGATTTCCGTAATAAAGGTTAGTTTCGAAATCTTTTTAAATGTTAATTAACGTTATTATCCTTATTTATTGTTGCTGTAACAAGTCATCTAAAGATAGTCTTTTAATTACTACAGTTTACCAAGAAAATTGTACACAAATAAAGTTAATGAGTGATTTTGATTAGGTACCCACGTATTAATTATTAACAATTTCCTCAGTGGTGGCACGTGATGTTATCTAGAAATAATTTACCTACTTTCTTAATGTGATTACACGTGATGTTACCCAGAAAGTGAGGAGTTAATTATCGGGATGGTTAATTTTTTATTGTCTGAAGTATTTATACTATTATTTCATTTGTGGTGACACGAGATGTTATCCAGAAAGTAAATATCAAGCTGATTCAATTAGACTCCTTGTTTTATTAGATCCCGAATATAACTCATGTGACGAGTATGAAGAAATGGAGTCTGACGCGTATGATTACGGCGGTGGCAGTGGTAATGTCAGTGAGGAAGAAGCGGCATCTGAGCGCAGCAGGCCAAAGTACGTCATTGAAATGCCCACGCCGGCACCAATCTCACTAAAAGCTGAAACTATTATACTGACAATATTAGAAAAGCCTTCACAAGACGAGGAAAGTATGCTTCCCCCAGAAATCTTGGCAGCTCTTGGGGAAGCAAAAACGTTCTAAGAAATTTTCGGCCAGAAGATCCTTACGGAAGTCTCTGAATGTTGGGGTAAAATTGTAATAGATGGGTTGACAAAGTAACAGAAGGAGAACTTGCTTACTAAAACACTGATCACGAAAACAATCAACTTTCTATAGCACCAAGACTGAACGCCGATATTGTGTCGGTAATAAATGAATGGACTAAAATCGTGACAGGCGTTTAGAAAAGATGCAAAACCAACTAGGTTGTGGTATTGCAGGTTTAGCAAATTTAACGTCAGAGTTAATAAGTAAAGAAATTAGCAAATACGAAATAATTAAACAAATATGTGAAATAAATTACCACGTGGAAACAATTAACCGTAGAAGATCCATTATCCCCATGTTAGACGTATGTTAAATGTATGTTTCTGTGTATTCTTTAAATTTCGTTTCTGGGTTTTCATTAATGGTTATTGGTACTTTAAAACTATTTGTCACTATCGTACTTTTAGTGATATTGATTTATAGTCTAAATTTTGCACTAGCTACTTGAAAGAAATTACTCATGAACCGGTTTGTGAGCTTGTCGTTGAAAGTATCACTATGTCGCCTGCGAGGCGCTTTGTATGTTGATACCTAGTTTATTCCAGTCTAGCTTGTTAATGATGGTTTTAAGAATCGCTATAAATATTTTTGGGGATAGCAGGTTACCCTGCATTACGCCCCTTTTATGGGGAAGCTTGTGCCCAGGGTTTTTTACTTTATTCTGCTTATGTTGGCGCTATATATTATGCTTTTGATAGTCTACATCATCTGAGGATGCCTCATGTAGAGGCGAAACACGTGTCGTATTACTATCGATGGTGTGTCTTTCTTAGTGTAGTGGTGTTGGGAGTAGTGGTGCTGGGATTAGTGGTGACGAGATAAGTGGTGACGGGATTAGTGTACGTAATTAAGGGAGGGTGGGAGGTGCTCTTCAAACTAGGTAAGACACATCATTTTATTGAATGGATATGTGCGAGGTAATTCTTACCAACTTCAATATAATAGATTACCGCAAATTAACTCCTGATTCTATTAATGATGAGGTTTATAATTTGAATTTAAGATAATAGTATGTATGTGATGCGACATCTCCATCAATCGTTAATTGATTTTGTTTTTTTTTTTATATAATTGATTATAACTTCAAGGGTGCTCTCGCATAAATATGGAGAAAAAATTTCACGCATAAGGTGTCAAAATAGGCAATGAATGTTTTATCAAGGGTAGTATCAATGTTACTTACTACCTTAATTCACTCAAAAGGGCATAAAACAATTATAAATAAAAGCAGAGTTTCAAGTACCCAAAACTTTAAGAACAAACTTCTTTTCACTATGTCCCAGCAGTGATTTCAAAACATAAAATTATTTTATTGTTTTAGTTCATGAAGTCGGCTGTTACTTTTTACTCAAAGCTAATTATGTTCGATCTAAAGTGTAAGGAATACCAGTCTAGTTACAGGCTGTTAAGCATTTCATGTTTGGCTTCAGGTGTAAGTGTAACAATGCACATGTAGTATTCTTCGTCTCAAGTTGGTGGCAGCAGTCAATGCGATGCACTTTGTCAAATTTAATATATGGAGAATAACAGAAAATGTTAGTGTGCAATATAACTATAGTTAGCAAACGTGCCCTTATTGATTACATTAGTTTATTTAAGCTATTAACTAGTAGGATTAAAAGTAATTACACCAATATTAATCATAATATATTTTCTATAAAAAGGTCGCTTTATTCGGAATCAAGTAAAAGTTTGCGATATTTAGTTCAATCATTTTGATAATAATAAAAGTAGACAGGCAAAACTTATTCGGAACATTTGCTCATTCGGTTCACAGCACAGTCTCCAGTTGTAAGTAGCTAGAGGCTAATTTAATCCAGTGGAAGTGAACTGAATACTAACGAGGTCCTCAGTAAAATATCTACATTTATCGTAACAAGCAATGAACGGAAGTGTTTTCATACTCAGGTTTATTATACCTTTACTCATTTAAATTACTTTAACAGACAAAAATAAGTCTTAAATCACTCTTTATAGGAATTTTAAGTGTTTAACTTAGAGTGATTGCATACATACGTGTGGATAGAGAGAACCTACAATTAAACATAAATTAAGTCAATATACTTGTCTCGCTTTTTCTTATATAATTTTCGAATAAGAAAAAATAGACAATCTATTAAACGATGTTCCGTATAATTTAATCGTCGAAATAGAAATATCAAGTGGTCATCTTTGGTCTCTTTTTACTATGCCAAATATGAGAGTACGTACACTCGCATGTTCTGATTTACTAGAAAAAATGACATCCCTTTTGTAGTAGTATTATGTGTGACGTTACTTTACAAGACATAACGTCTGTAAGCTATAGAAATTTCGTTTGCAATGTTAGCTACAATCAACATCGATATACTCGTTTTTGTTTAGTTATTTATATTTATTACTTTACATACCTAAAAACCCTTAAAATACTTAAAAAAAGGAATAGACTTATTATTATTCGAATGATCAAGTAAATTTCTTTCTAAATCAAGTGATGATTATTATTATACTACATTTCAAATATTCGTTTCGCAGACTTAAACTAATAATTAGGAAGGTATCAATACTAAATCTTGACAGAAACACAGTACATGAGCGAGTTGGATCATCAATTTGTAATGCCAATTTTATATGCTCCCTCACATCCACGCAGGCTTTGCACGACTGTTTTCTAGATCTTCACAACAATGCTATTTACCGGGTCCAAATGTAAGTGTGAGTGTTCATCGAAATCTATCCAGCTTTTATTAAGTGATGGTATTTAATACATGCGGTAATAAATTTTTATTTATATAGATTTACCACTTGCTTAGCGGAAAATATGAACAAAGTTTTATCTGCTTGGATGAAAATACTGCTGTGCTAGCTGCTGTGTAGCGGCAGCAAAAAAGAATACACTACCTCCTACCAAATAATATATATTATTACTATATTTTTATTAGAAGCTCTAAAACCGCATACCGTCCCGTGAGTATCGTAAAAAATGACAAAAAGAAATGAAACGTGACATAGGCAACAGTATCTTCGTCATCACAAATCAAAATAGTAAAAAAATACGGTTGCCAAACCACTATCTAAAAGAGAGAACTATGACAAATGTTCCCCTTAGGTTCAGCAGTGGACTTTTGATTGGCTATATTTAATTAATGAATGATAGATAATACCTTGAGGTAGCAGAGAGAAAACGGGTAATACGTTTCTAATCGGTTTATTGGTATATTTATTTATATTTTAAAAACAGTGTACATGCTGGCTTACAGTATGCCCAAAACGTCAGCATGCTAATTTACAAATTACAGTTTTAAATAATGGTAATAACATAAGATACATGTCAAAAGGTCAAACAAATTAAAGAATACATGTCCAATAGATCAAATAAATCCCAAAAAAATAATCCAAATATATCAAAAGTCAAATAAATTACATATTAACTCTTAAAAGTCCGAGGTCTCCATTTGGATACTTAAATGTCTCCTTGTAGACCGCGCCAAAGAGTATACTAATATTTAGAGGGACGCCTTAGAACCAAAGAGTATATGATCACTAAGTTTACTCGAAACCATAGATAAGAGTGCTCAGGACGATTCTTTTTAAATGTTATTTATAAGAATATAATTCTTAAAGAATATAATTCTTAAATTCTTAAAGAATTATATTCTTATAAATAACATTTAAAAATAATTATATTATTATATATTCACATATAAAATTAAAAACTTGGTAATATTAAGTTGCTGAAAGACACGCTGCACTTAAAAAATTATATGCGTGTTATGATATTCAGTGGAATCTCTACAACTCGAACCTCGTTAAGTCGAATTCCTCAGTAAGTCGAAAAAAATTGCCATTATCTTCCACTGAACCCAAATACGCGGTATCTCGAATTATTAGGTTTTGTAACTCGAACAAAATGTTATTTCCCTACGAAATATTGATAATATATATTTATACTCTATAACTCGAATTTCAAAAAGGAGACTCCGTAAGCCGTAGTTAGTAAACAGTAATGACAACTTAATGGGTTCTTGAGGCTTAGGTTCAAAATAGGGCCAAGTTGGATCCAGAATTCACCAAAGTGAAGCCAGGTCGGATGGCAGGTATACATATATAATTCTGTATTCTGTCTGGCTATGACGCTGTCCCTGAACTTCTCCTGAAAGGCTGTGGTGATTATGATGAAATTGTTTGTGTCCGTTTGAGTGATCCTGGGATAGTTTTGATTTACAATTGGATCCGGTAGGTGGAATTTGTCAAAACCTAGAAATCACTCGTGTAAAAATAATTTGTTATTTTGTTTGTTCCGTATGTGTTCTTATATCATTCATCAGATTACGATGAAACTTTGAAAAGTTTTTGCTAGTAGGCCCGCGAATGTGTATGACTAAAAAAGGAAAAAAATTACATTTGTTTGTTTGTTTTCGTTGTAACACGTTACTATACTATTCATCCGATAACGATGAAAGTTTATTGTATACCTTAAAAGGCTTTGTAACACATGATTTTTTTTTGATGAATTATTTATGAAATATATACCTTAAATATGGCAATATTGTTTATAAAATTAATTAATCTTCGTTGAATTTTAATTAATTACATTATGTAACGGCGCTTCTTATTATGACATTTAGACAAAATTTTAGAGAGCTGTCCTCGGCTACGCAAAGGGTGATAAAAAGATCCTTGAAGCGTGCCTAAGTGCTCTTAAGTGCTTGGATCGTCCCACTTATGCTAATTACTGCTACGAATGTATGAGTTTCCACAAAAGCAGCTTTATATTCGCTTCATTATAAAATGTATTTTAATCCGGTGTTTAATAAAGACATAGTTCAAAACCGTTAGTTCTCATCAAAACATTACGTAGTTTTTAAAAGTTACTTTAAAGTATACCTACAAAAACTTTTCCGTGCTTTTCACCATCGATCAATGCCATCGATCGATCAGTGTGGTAAAAACTA